CTGAGGAGGCTATTAAAAAGACAGCTTTACAGGACATTTATAGTGTTCCTGATCCTGGAGGGCAGGCCTGAAGGGGCTGGCAGGGGAGAGTGTTTGTGTGTGTTCTGGACGAGGCTGGGTCTTCAAATCCAGATGGCCCATGATGTCACTGGAAAAAACCCTGAAACGTGCTACAAAAAAGAACTTTTTTATGGCTCCCTGTGTAGTGTTCCCATACACTGGGCTTGAAGTGGGGAGAAAAAGGAACAGAAAGACTTTCCTACTCCCCACAGCCCTGCACATCTGTCACCTTGGGGTACAGGGAATGGAAGGTCTGGAGAAAGGGAGAGATTAGGTGGGAAGAGAGGAAAAAAGCAAGAGGACTAAGGGAGTTCAGAACTAATCCTGTCTTCTTTTTTTTTTTTTTTCTTTTTTTGTCCTTTTTGAGACTGGCTGCACCACGCTCAGCCAGTGAGCACACCGGCCATCCCTATATAGGATCCAAACCCGCGGCGGGAGCGCTGCTGCACTCCCAGCGCCGCACTCTCCCGAGTGTGCCACGGGGACGAGGCCGGCCCCTAATCCTGTCTTCTTCATACTGCCTCTGTATCTTGTTAAAGGGTACTTACCACTATGAGGTACAGTTCTTTGTTTATTTATGTGACTCTTCTACTGGACTATGTTTGAGATCAGTGTCCCTGCCTTACTTATCTCTATAACATTGGAACCTAAAGCAATATCTGTTACATAATAGATATTCAGTAAGAATTAAAAGAATGGAGTTCTAGTTTGGAGCTACATTATAAAAGACTATAGCAGCAAGAATCAGGAGAAAGAAAAGAAAGAAACCAAACTTTATTGGGTGTTTTATATGTGTTACACGTCATAATAGAACCTTTGGATACATTTTCCGTGTTTCTATTGTTTAAGGTAGAAGTTATTAATCTTACTTTGCAGAGGAGAAAACTGAAGTTTAGAGAAAGTAAATCATGTGCCCAACATCAGGCAGCAAGCACAGGCAGCATTTAAGTCCACATCTGATTAACTCCAAAGCAGTTTTCACTAGCATAATGCCTTTCTCGGGAAACTACCACTTTCCATTCTTCCTCCCCTCAAATATAAAGCAAAGAGAAAAAGTAGGCCATGCAAGGGAAGAAGTGCTCTGGAAATGTGAGTCGTGACTCAATACTTTCTACAAACAAATTCTGCTGTAACACCATATATGGGTACTTTTAGGAACATATACAGTTGGATTTCTTTTAACTTTCTAGCTATTTCCCACTGAACTCAGAGCAAGTTCTAAAAAGCCTAAGCTACTCAAGTAGTGGCTTATGTAGTGAGAAAATACAGCTTACAGGAAGAGTCATACTTTACTTTGATTAAGGATGAGCCACGTCAGCTTTGGTTCTTCGGCAAAAAAAAAAGGGGGGGGGAGAAAGAGTGGATCTGCAAATATTTTGTAGTCAAATAAAAGGAAAATTCCCCTGGGTTTTATTCCCTGACCACGGAACCTTATATATGCAAGTGTTTCGGGTTTGTTCTCTCTTTCTGAAATTTCAACATATTGTTGTGGTCTTTTCTTTCTTTCTTTCCTTCATTTCTTCCTTCCTCCCTCCTTCCTTTACTCCTTCCCTCCCTCCATCTCTACATTCCTTCCTTCCTAGCAGCCAGTTATGAGTGAGAACATGTGGTATTTCTATTTCTTTGTCCGGCTTATTTCACGTAACATAATTTTATCCAGACTCATCCATGTTGCTGCAAATGGCAGGATTTCATTCTTTTTATGGCTGAGTAGTATTCCATTGTGTGTATATATGACATTTTCTTTATCCAATCATCCATCAATGGACACTTAGGTTGGTTCCATATTTTGGCTATTGTAAATAGAACTGCAATGAACATGGGACTGCAGGTATCCCTTTGACATGATGATTTCCATTCCTTTGGATATATACCCAGTTGTGGGATTGCTGAATCGTATGGTAGTTCTACCTGTAGTTGTTTGAGAAACTTCCATATTGTTTTCCCTAATCGCTGTGCTAATTTACGATCCCACCAACAGTGTAGAAGAGTTCCCCTTTCCCTTCATCCTCGCCAGCATTTGTTATTCTTGGTCTTTTTAATAATGGCCAGTCTAACTGGGGTGAGATGATATCTCAATGTGGTTTTGATTTACATTTCTCTGATGACTAGTGATGCTGAGCATTTTTTCCTGTGCATGTTGGCCATGTGTATGCCTTCCTTTGAAAACTGTCTATTCATCTCCTTTGCCCATTTTTTAACTGGATTATTATTATTTTTTTTTTACTGTATATAGTTGTTGGAGTTCTTTGTATATTCTGGATATTAATCCCTTATCAGATGTGTGTAATATGACCCTTTCCTGTGACACCTATCCCTGTTCAAGCTCTTAAATAACATTTTCTGCATTCATGAATATTTTGTGTGAGGTGTAATTCTTGATTGTTTGGTTGCCTGATTGTTGGAGAAACTAGTGAGGGTGCATAGGCTGACATGAATGAAACAGGCAGCAATGCAGAAAAAGAAACCTGATTCTATTCCTACTGTGACATTCATTTCACACTTACTGAACAGCCTCGCTATAGAAAAAGGAATAAACAACACTTTCCAATTGATTTTATGAGGCCAACATAATCCTGATATTAAAATGTGACAAAGAGACATAACAGCAATTAGCATTACAGACCAATAGTACTCATGAACATAGATGCACAAATCCTTGAGAAAATGAATAAAAGGATAATACATCATACCAAGTGGGATTTATCCCAGGAATGTGAAGTCGGTTTATCATTTAAAAACCAATCTATGTATTCACTACATTAGTAGATTAAAAACAAAAAGCATATGATCATTTTAATAGATTAGAAAAAGCATATGACAAGATTCAATGCCCATTCATGATAAACACTCTGAGAGAACTAATAATATAAGGGAATTTCAAAAGTTAAAACTAACATCATAATTAATGGAGAAAGATGTAATGATTATCTCTGATGATCAGGAACAAGATAAAGAGGTCCACCTTTACTATTTGCATTTGTACAGAAATCCTTAGCCAGTGCAATAAGGCAGGAAGGAAATACACAAGGCACAGAGTTTAGGAAGAAATAACTAAAACTGTCATTTTTCACAAAATTATGACTTTTATATGAAAAATTCCGAGCACTCTTACAAAGCAACTGTGAGAATAAATAAATTTAGCAAACGTGAAGGATACAAGATCAATATATAAAATCAAATGTATTTTTTAAACTAGTAACAAATAATTAGTAAAATAAAATTTAATATTAACATGTACAATAGCATCCAAAAACATGAAATAGGAGTAACATAATAAAATAGATATGGCAATTCTATACATAGAAAACTTCAAGATATCACTGACAAAGTAAAGATCTAATATATTTGCCATTTCATGAAGCAAAAGACTCATTTTTAAGATATCAATTTCTTCCTAAATTGATCTACAGCATAACTTCAGTCAAAATCCCAAAGGATTTTCTAAAGAAACTGAAGCTTATTCTAAAATTCATGTGAAAATGCAAAGGATCTGGAATAGCCAACAGAATTTTGAAAAAAAACAAAAGAAAAGATAAAAAGTTTGGGGTTTTACGCTACCTGATTGCAGGACTTTCTATAAAGCTGTAGAGGATTTGATGGCTTTTAATGCTAAGAAGACTGAGATGGGAATGTTCTGTCTTTTATAGATTCTCTTATAGGGGAATAGTCTTTTTAAATATTTTATTTAGTGGATATAACAACTATAGGTATGTGGGGAAAAGTTGTACTCTATCTAAAACATTATTGAGTGATTACTCTGTCTGCTTTTGTTTTTACATTTTCTATTTTTCTGTTTTTGTATTTTCTATGTATTGCCCTTATAAGCACTATCTCATTTAATCCTTGTATTAACCTTATGAGGAAAAATAATTACCCTCACTTTATAGAGAAGGAAACAGGATTTTAGGGAGTTTAAGTAATTTACTAAGATTTGAGAAACAGAGCTAAGATTTGAAACCAGGTGCCTTGAATCCACACCCGTGCTCTTCTCTACTGTGCCAGTTCTCCTTAAAGTGTGCTACAAGGATCTCTTGCATCAGGTACATACCTCACAGGTTTGTTTTAAAGGATCTGACTTAAAGATTTTTAATTAGGAAGTGTGTAGCATTTGACACATAAGTGCTCAATAGTTTGTTGTTATAGCTGTTACATAGTGAGAGCTGTTAATCACTCAGTTCATAATGCTTATATCTAAAATTTATGTAGCTCCTCTGAATTCAGAAAAGAGAATTTTTATAGTTGACTTTTTATCAAGTACTATTTTTTTTCCATCTGGGTTTCAAAATATAACAATCAGGCAATAAGGTAGGCTATTTTGAATATTTGATACTTTCAGAGATACTAGTTTTGAACAGATTTTTTCTGTCTTCATTTTTGGTCTTCTTTTAAATTATGTTTTTAAACACCACTCAAACATTCAGGATAGGTAGGCAGGAGATGCAAGAAGCTATGGAAATAATAGTTTCTTGAATATCAACTAAAATGTTAATATTATACAATGAGACTAATTTGGCATCACAGATATAGCTTACTTTAAAGAAGCCATGTATTTTCTCAACTTTTTGGAATTATATGAAGTTTAGTAAGGAGGAAATTCATTTTCAGAAGTAAAATTTTTTCATTTTTTTTTATTTATCTCATGAAGACTGAATTACAGAAAGAAGTAAGGCAAGCCTATTTGTCCCTGCTTCTTAAATACCATTAGGGAAGTTACCATACCTTCCTTTCAAGTTCTCTGTAAATCAAAATGAAAATACTCAGGAAAAAGTGGAAATAATAATGGTATGAGAACTTTTCAGGACTTAGGTAGTAAATTACTTTAAGATTATGGTGCTGTAACATTCATATACAGTTTTCAAATTAAGACCACATTCACAAATAATTTTTCCTATTAGCGACAAAGATTCTTGGTGATGAACATTTTGGGAATATGGTAGGGACACTAACAATGGCAGCTCTGTGGAACACTCTTTTGAAACTAAGAAGCTCAATGGAAAGGCACTGAGCAAGGTCCTGAGCAGCCAAGCTGAGGAGCCACTCTCTCCTCCTGTCCCCAAGGGATCTGGCCCCACTCTCAACAGCAGGTCTGGCAACTGTCCCAGGAAGCAGTCTGATGACAGTGAAGAGAGGAGCCTTAAAACCATCTGTGCCAACCACAATAATGGATGTTTACAATCCTGTCCCCCTCAACCCCGTAACAATGGGCAGAACTTTGGGGAGCCAGGGGCAGTGGCATACTCTTCTCCAGAATGTTCAGACACCGACCATGATAATTCATTCCTGAAAGGAACACTCCTACACACAGATTGTTGTGGGCCTGAAATGGCTTGTGAAACCCCCAATGCTGGAACAAGAGAGGACCCCACTGACCCTCCATTCACAGACAGCAGTAAGGCTCTTCACAGACACAGTAGCCTCAAAAGGCACCGAGTTGAATCAGAAGATGCAGATTCAGAGAACTCCTACTCAGAGAAGAAATTAAAAACATGATAAATACAAAGGGAAAACAAAAATCTACGAAAGTAGCCTTACCAAAAAAAAAAATCATGTTTAATGAACACAGAGCAAAGGAAAAACAGGTATTAAAGGCACATAAAATGAGAAATAAAAATGAAGAGGACATGAATAAATGGAAAGATATCCCATGTTCTTGAGTTGGAAGGATTAACATCATCCAATTGTCCATATTGTCCAGAGCAATCTATGCATTCAACA